CATGTCTCAGCAAACCGAGGGAGCCCCAAGTATTCATGGTGTTCTCCTCTACTACATTGTAACATCTGATTCGGGTGATGTTGAGGCCAGGACTTATTTACAAGAGTCTCCTATGAGTAAGATCCAGTTCGAGCCCCCAGGATATGATATGCAGCTGGATGGTAGGAGAGGCCCTGAAACTCTGTGGTCACCACTACACAAATCTGATGATTTATCCCCCCCCTCCCGTCCCCACTTCATCAGTACTTCTCGAACAGCCTTTACAAAGGAGTTCAGTATCCTTAAAACTATCCACTAATTTTGGGTGCCCACCTCAAGCCTCTCAGGACCTGATTTTGAAACGTGTTGAAAAAGCAGGCAGGAGCTCCCACTGATTTATAATAAAAGAATAAAGCCCAAGCCTGTAGGCAGAATGTGTCATTCTAACAGTTGTAGGGTTTCTTTTTAATTATACATAATAAAAACTGCAGATGATACTAAGTCTTTGGAGGATGGAATAAAAGAAAAAGCTTCCTTGCCTGAGGCCTAGAACTGAAAATGTAAGCCATAGTTAAATAAATGTTAAGTTTCTTGAGTAGCCAGCGTTATATATTTTTGAACAGATAATAGCAATGTCACCAGTGAGCTAGTGATGTGTTGTCCTCCCCTTTAATGATATACTAGTCCTGCAGATAGTGGTGTACATGATACCAGATGATACAGCAAAACATTTTTGATAGAAGAAAATAGTTCTCTTTAGAAACTTCCCTCCAGCATAGGCCCCAATCCCTCAGCAACTGCTAGGAGCAGCCATGGAGTCTCCCAGGAAGAATTGCAACATAGATCATTGCATGGGCAACTGGTACCTCTTGAGTCGGGGGGGGGGGGGGGGGGGGGGGGGTGGGTGGGAGCCATATGCTCACTAATGAAAAAAAGCATTCAGGCAGCAGCAGAAATTCCATTCCTATGGGAATGGTAGACAAACCGAGGCAAACCGAGGGAGCCCCAAGTGTTCATGGTGTTCTCCTCTACTGCATTGTAACATCTGATTAGGGTGATGTTGAGGCCAGGCGTGCGAGGCCAGGGATGAGCTGACATCAGTCAGTGAGCACTTTCTGAAGTGGCGCGGCTGCTTTTGCTGGCGGCCCTGCTCCCCAGCCAGCACTTGCAGGGCGGGCACTGGTGCTCACACCTGCCCCCCTGGCTGTCACCTAAACAGGGAGCATGGCCTGACAGGGGGTGCACCCCCTACATGTTACCACTGGAGCATTGCATTTTGCATGGGTGTAGAGGTCTCCATGAACAGATCCCTGTGAAGGTCACGCTGTTACTGATTGCATTCACTCAGATTTTCATTCTTTTTCAGTCAATCCACTAGCCAAGAAATCCTTTCTCTACATTTCTTCTTCCTTTTAGTTCTAAATTGATTAGCAACATCTAATTAAAATTAAGATTTAATATTACATGCAAAAAAGAACATTAAAATAATCTTAAGGTTGCAAAAACAAGCCCTGAAAAGTTAGGAAATGCAAAAATAAAAGGGGCCCAGGTACCCTTACTACATTCGCTTGTTTGTGTGCACTGATATAGTCTTTACTTATATGATAACATGCTACTTTTTTCTGCTGGACCCCTGCCTCATTCAGTTCACAAGAGTTATGGAATAAATTGGGTTGTACAGTCACCAAGGCCACTGTCTCTAGAGCAGGGGTAGACAATGTTTTTTGTCCAGAGTACCGAAAACCCCCACAATGCTTACCTTGGAAGGTGCCGGAGTGCCGGCATGCCAGAAAAACAAAATGAGGGCAAGGGATACATGGCAGGATGCCCTGCTTGTGCCCCTTGCCCCCTACCCAAAGCCACTGTTCCCCAGCCCTGCTGCCCTGTGCCCCCCACCCAAAGCCCCTGCCCCCCAGCCCAGGCTCTGTGGCTGTCAGCAGCTGCCCCGGCTCTGGGTAGTGCTAGAGCCTGGGCTGCTCCCAGCAGGGCTTGCAGCATCCCAGCTGCCTGCTGCGAGCAGCCCAGGCTCCCAGATGGCAGCAGCTACCCAGAGCTAGGGCCAGCTGCAGCTGGGCAGTTCCAAACAGCTGTGCTGGGCTCCAGAGCCCCAGCATCATTTCTGTGCTGGTGGCGACTGCATGGGCACCTCAGGGTGGGCTGCACTGCCCTGCTGTCTGCCCAGAGGTGCACATGCAGTCACTGCCAGCACAGAGCTGATGCTGGGGCTCTGGAGCCTGGCGCAGCTGTTTGCAGCCTGCCCGCTGCTTGCTGCAACTGCCCAGAGCCTGGGCTGGCTACAAACAGCCGGGCCCCAGAGCCCTGCCATCACCTCCATGCCAGGAGCGGGGGAGAGGCTGGGGCTGCATTGCCTCATGCCCCTCTCCCACCGCCTGCTCTGAGGTGCATGTGCACGTGCTGGTACGGAGCTGATGCCTGGGCTCTGGAGCCATGCGCAGCTGTTTGGAGCCTCCTGGCTGCAGCCGGCTCTGGTTAGCTGCTGCCAGCCAGGCCCCCGGGCTTCTCCCAGCAGGCAGCTGGGATGCTGCAAGCCCTGCTGGGAGTAGCCTGGGCTCTGTTGCTGGGAGTAGCCTGGGCTCTGTTGCTGGTAGCAGCTACCCAGAGGTGGGGCTGGCCATGGCATACCGAGCAAAAAGGCCTCGCTTACCATTCTCGGCCCACGTGCTGGGGGTTGCCGCCCCCTGCTCTAGAGCGTCAGCCGCATTTGTTATAGAAGTTGTGTTCAACAAATGAAGCAGGTAACTACCAGAGGAGAGATGACCTGCTTCAAACAATTGAATGCTGCCCAGGAGAAATAGGTTTTATCTTAAACATCTCAGAACCCCTGTGTGATACTTGGCAGGTTGCACACACCTGACTCTTCAGATGGGTGTTGTTTATTTTCTGAGTGCCCAGTGTGAAACACATGGGGTCTGCCTGGTGTGCGGGCCCTCTCCCAATCCCTCCTGGATCGCCATGTGCGAGCTCTCTCCCGATCCCATCTGGGTCGCCATGGGCGAGCCGGGGGCCCGTCTTTGTGCACACAGGCTGTGGCCGGCAGCCCGGGCACACGGGGCTGGAGAAAACCGCGGTGCGGTATAGTATGCTCGAGCTAGAATCAGTCACGGAGGCGTAATGGTTGATTGAAAAGATTATTTACTTACACCCAAGGTGGTCACAGTGTAGGCTGGTCAGCTTTCCAGGCACAGCTCTGCTTGAGTTCTCGGTGGAGGACTCTAATAGACTCGGTTCCTTGACCCCGGAGTGAATCAGGCTCCGCGGGTTCAAGAATTCGTTCCCACGGAGCAGCTGTATCTCCGTGAGTGTTACTTGGTTCCCAGGTCCCCCGGAGCTGTTAAGACTCCGTGGGTTCGACAATGGGGTCCGTAGGTCTGGGCTGCGATCGGCGACGGGGAGAGGCTAGAGGTTAGTTGCCTCGGAGTCGTTAAGGCTCCGAGGGCACGGTAAATAGGTTCCCCGGAGTTGTTGAAGCTCCGTGGGTTCGACAAATTAAACCTCTGTTGCCCTCTTAAGGAAAAAGCTGGGTTCGTTTGGATCAGCAGCGCTTAGAGATCTTCACGCTCCTTTCCCGAACTCCACGTGCTTTCTCTCTCTCCAACTTGGGCGGAAACTCCGGCTCGAATCTTAATACAAATGGCAGGAACTCCTTTGCATCGTGCATCACTATAATGCAAAAGAAATGCACTATGCAAAAAAAGCTACAGAACTGGCGGGAAAAGCTCCTGCACGCAGGTCCTCTGTTGCAACAAAACACTCCACCGTGCAAAAGAGCTGCAATTTTGGCGGGAACATGATTTAGCGATGCCGAAGCGCACACAAACAAAAAACCCACAACTTTGGGTTGTGACACCTGGAAGAGTGACTAAATACACACAGCTGCAACAGAAGTCAGAGAGACTACTCAGAGTAAATAAAGGGCAACTAATATCAGGTAACAGGCATTTCAAATTGGGCATCCAAAGTTAGTAGACATTTTGAACATTAATGTCTCCACTTTAGACCCCCTCTGTGACTTTAATACCATGTGATCTAAAGGGAGGTTTGGGCAAGATAAATGGATTAACATTTATAAACCCCCCAGATGCAACAGTGATGAACATCATAGAGAAGTCCTTGATGAAATTAATAATTCCGTTTTCAGAGCACGGTTTGAATTCTTGCAGTAAATAGGCCTTAGGTCATGCTGTGAATATTAAGGATAAAACCAAACCTTGAATAGCTGCTCCATTAATTGATCATTATCCAAGTTGGGCACTGAATGGGGTAGAGGTCCTGTGAATAGATGGCATGTGAGCATCTGGTTGAAGACTGTATCATGAGATGTTCACACAGTAGAGACCAATTAAGGTTACATGGCTGTCCCACTGATTCTTATGCTCCAGTCTCCCTAGTCCTTAATTGGCTCCAATCCCACCTTCTTCAACTTTTCACCTAAATCCCTCCCCCACCTCTCGGCACCTTCTGTCCTTCCAGGTTGGGTCCTTCCACCCATGAGTTTTATTTACTTGGTTCATCCACTTACTGTCTGGGTGCCAGCATAGAAAACCTTGGGAAAGACAATCTCCCTGCTCTCAGTTCAGGTGCCCAGCATTGCAGCTGGCACTGAAAATCGCATGCAGCAGTTCCACAAAACGTTCAGTTCAGCCCTGGAGTGGAACATGTTCATGTGCTCTGGGGGGAAGCCAGGAAGGTACCTCAAGGGAGGAGGAGGACCAATGGACATAAGCTTATAGAAGGTAATTTCTGGCTAGCTATAAGGAAGAACTTCTTTGTAGGGTCGCCAAAATTTGGAACACACTCCCAGTAGAGGTGGTGCAGTCCCAGTGACATACCATCCGGTGTCTGGGAGCCAATGCTTGCATTTGCACCCCCACCCCCCATCCTTCTCGTAGCAATACTTAAAGTCACATCGCGCAATAAGAACTCTGAAGAGCCTGGCCAATGCCCAGGGGCCATGGCACCCTCCCCCCGCACCAGTCTGCCACGGGCAGTCACCATCTTTGGAGGTGTTCAAAAGGAGGCTGGACAGGCACCTTATTGAACTTATCTGAACCCAATAACTTCCTGCCTATGGCAGGAGACCAGACTCGATGATCTTACAGGTCCCTTCTAGTTCTACAAGTCTATGATTCTATATGGCTTCCAGTCACATATAGCAACAGAAAAGAGATGTGCATGTAGGGGAGAGGAAGTCTTCAGAAGATATAACCGCCAAACCCTAACAAGGCATTACTGAGCAAGAGTGATCTGAGCTTTTTCAAAGACTTGTAACAGTTAATTTGCCAAAGTTAGACACAACTGAAAACTGGGTCTTAAAATGAAAAGTATTTGTAATGGCAGTGCCTTAATTATAGGTGTTGCAACCTTTGCTGCCTAATTGAAAAAAACAAAAAACTTGTCAGGGTTTGAATTTGTCAGTGTCCCAAACACAGCACTTTTCAGTTGGAGACTAGACAAAGTTAGAGAGCATCCAGAGTTATTCATTTAGAGACTCTCTTGATCTCTGTCATCATGATGTATGAATACTGTTCACATGCCTACAACTATGATAAAGTCCTCACCTTGCTTCAGTCTCTTTATACCAAATAAAATGACTTGAGACACTGTAAAGAAGATCTAAAAGGTGTGAAACAGCTGAGAGGATGTTTTGCCCAAATCACACTGCCTGTAATTTAAATGGATTATTTTAGATCTGTAATATTTTGTGTGTGTTATGTAAATATGTAATTGATTATTTTAAATATGTAAAGGTAAAACATTGATGTAAAGCATACTTGTTGTGTTTAATAATATAATGTATTTGCTAATATATCTTGTGTATATATATACTTTTTTTAAAAGAAAGCATGAGCTTGTATGTAATGAGGCGTAATTACTACAATGATGCCACTAATGTGCATAGCAAGATGTACTATAACATTTACCATATCTATTTTTATTGCTTTTTCATACATAAAACTGCTTTAAAACACTATTTTGTAAGCAGGGACTCCAGATCTGATCCAAAGCCAACTGATAACAGTGGAAACTTTCCATCAAGTTTGCTCAGCTATGAAACAGGGCTTCTGGGCCTGGCAGTATTATAATTTTAAAAATAAAGCTGGTCATAAAGTTAATTTGAAGAGTTTTTATAAAATCAGAAATAAGGAAACTTTCTTTCAACTTTTTTACTTACAAAATGTAGTGAATTGTAATGTTGAAATGCTGATTATTGCATGGAGAGTAAAGTAAATCATTTCTTATAAAAAATCCTTTTTCAGTAAGTAATCCTTATGTTTTGCCAAAGGAACTACAGTGTCCATTTGGATTTTAAGCTACCAGTATATTGCTTTGCATTTTGTAGTGCCTTTTGTCCAAGGATCTCAACGTTCTCTTTACAAATATATAGGTAAATCTTATCCCTCATTTGACAGATGAATAAACTGAAGCACAGAGCAGTTGAGTGACTTGTTGAAAGTCACAAAGGTACAACCGTTGGATAGTCCAGGTCACTTTACTGCTAGAGATTTAAGGATATGCTGTATCCTAGAAGATAGAGCTTAACAAAACTTACCTTCTTTGCTTTGTTTCTCTTCTCCATAGAAAATATAAAAAAGGAACCAAAGTGCATCTGAGACTGGTGGACCTTGAACTCACATCTAGATTCTTGGGAGCAAAAACAGATACAACTATACTGGAGGCTGATGCAGTGCTACTAGGGCTTGAGGAACACAAACAAACAAAGTACAACTAGTAAGGACATGTACATAAATAAATGAATAAACATTATATGCTTTGTTTGTGCAAATGTGTACAAACTACAAAAAATTTTCCTTCATGGTTATGTAAATGGTAAGAGAAATTTAATAAAAGGCAACAATCCTGGCATATCTTGGTTCTTAGTTATCTTTTAACCACTCATCTTCCTGACCCCATCACTTAGAATTTGAACACTTCATACTAAATCAAATGGTAGGAGGTTCTTTGGCTCTTATAGTCACTATTTGTGTGTGTTTGCCTGGAGCAGAACAAACATTCCAAAGTCTGTCTTGCTGTCCCAGAGGAAAATTGATCTAAAATGCTATACTTACATGGCAGACTTACAAAGCTATACTTACAAAGTATATACTAAAATGCTATTCTTACAAAGCCTGATGCTGCACTGTTCCTTCAACTGCTTCATTGTTTAGAGAACAGAGCTTATCCTGTGAAGGATGGATTCTGCCATTTGTGTAGGAGAAAGCCCATCTGTATGGTTCTGGGCCTTTGCTTTTGTTCATGTCATGATGGAGTATAGAGCAATTTGAACCTATTTGTTGTCTTAACTTGAACCTATTTGTCTCTCAGGAGCCGCTGTAATTAAAACGTGGCAGCATGTTGTATATTCAGCGTCCTGCATTTCAAAATGGTGGTGGTGGTCCTTTAACTGAAGCTCGTTCAATGAGCTTTAGTTAAGGTGCCCCCACTCCCATTTTGAAACACGAGATGTTGAACATATGAGGTGCTGCAGCATGCTGCTAATTGGAACGCGTTGGAGCATGTGTATAGGCACCCATAATTTCTATCAAGGCATGGCAGGTAAGGCAGAAAAAGGGAGGGTGCCCTGCAGAGCCAGAGTGGAGCAGAAGTAGTTCAGCCACCAGGGGGCATCATGGCCACCCTCTGGGCTGATCCTGGCATGCTGTCTTTTAAGCCCATCATTCTTTTAGCCTTCTCTCTGAAAGAATGTGCAAGGAAAGAGAAAAGCAGAACTGAAGCTTAATTTCCAGTTCACCTGGGTCGGGTAGTACCCGAGTGCCCTGACGCCCAGTAGTTACTAATTCTTTCCTCTCCTGAAAAAAATGGTTTTAGTCTCTGCCTTTTTCCACTCCTTTTGCAAAACTGAGGACATAAAAGTCATGCAAGTATGAGCCACTGGTGATATTATCCAAAATACATCTCACTGCATGAACTCCTGACAGAATCCTTAAAAAAAATAACTTATGGCTGTGCCACAGAATACTAAAAGGAATCACAGGGAAAATGGATAACCTTTATCAAGGGTGAGAAGCATGTTTTAGCACATAAGTCTCTAGACAAGGAAAGGTAGGTAGTGTTTCTCAAATCGGAAATACTCCAAGTGAAAGAAAAAAGGCAGGCCATGTGAGCTTATTTTGTTTCCTTAATTGGTTCTCTCATTTCAGTCATGTTAATTATGAGAGTTTGAACATGAATTTCATGGTATATTAGATTCCCAGTAAAGAATTATACAGTGATAGAGACAAGAAAAAGAAATCTTTTTAGAAATGAGAGAGCAATTCAAGTACTGAAGAAAAAGTACCCATCTATCTTACAGAATTAAATCCGCCTTAACAAAGTATGATTCAGGGCAGGAGACAATGCACAGTGTTAACTTTTCTGGGATATGCAGTCATGAGATGAGTCTCAGTATTGCAGCAATTCCAGTATTGATATTAGCTGGCTTCCCTTTGGATAATACTGTGCTCTCTGGATAGAAGATGGCTCATCAAGACTGTAGCAACTGCAAAATGCATAGCTGTGGTGAATGCAAAACCAGTTTATTTGTGTATGTGTAAGCCAAGATGTTGCAAAATGTGAGAAGGCTGTATTGGTGTACCAGAACAAAATGTCTTTCTCTAAAGTCTGGGCAAGGTTTATGGACCTGTGCTGTGAGTAATTTGATTGTCAGCGTGTACTGCTGTACTTGTCAGCTGGATATATTATTCTTTGACAGTGCAATGATGACTGTCTTGCCTATCCAAATGACTCCTCTTCTTTGTTAGATTTTGTTTTTATTGTAATTTTATTTTAACAACATGGTCTTGCCATGGGCTCATCTAAACCAGAATATTGTCCCTAATGAAGCAAGTGCACCTTAGTTTTACAGCAGTAAAATCAATGTTTAATTCAAAATGGCCACCTTGGGCTTTATGTTCAATAACATAAAATAGTTATTTTTTTCTGAAGTTGGAGTTAGGCCCTGGGTTAGGCTGGGCATCCTTGATAAAGACATAGGAGAATTTTCTTTCCCATCCCAGCCACACACAAAATTTGACTGTGGAAGAAGTGTTCAGTTGTGTTTTAATCTTGCATACCTTTATTGGTTTTTTGCTGGCTCCCGACCCTTCTAGCTACAGCAGGACCAGTTCTCACTGGGTCTTCCAGCTGATCCTGGGAAGCCTTTCTTTGCAGCTCAAAGATTAGAGTTTTCTCTGTATTCCATCAAAAGAACACATACTTCAGGAGGAGTGCGCTAAGACAGAGCTGTCCAACTCATCAGGCCCCGTGCGCCAAATGAGTGGAGTGGGGCTGGTCCATGGGCCAGATGCGACACAGAGCTGATCCCAGATCACGTCTGCAGGCTGGTTCCATGCAGCATTCAAACTGGCCCTTTATGCACATACAGCACATACCATACTCCTTCCCTCATGTTCTGTGTACCATCCCCAGCTCTGCATGCTACATGTAGCAAGTGGGTCTGGTCCAAGATCTACAGGCAGCAATGCAGGACTGATAATCGGGTTCCACAGCCTGAATCAGGCTCATGGACAGTATCTTTGACAGCTCTGCACTAAGATGATGGAATCTCCACTGGGGAGTGTCCCATATCTGGTACACTTTTTGTCAGTATATCCTTCGGAAAGCTGCTTCATCGCGTCTTTGCTGACTGAGATCTGCAGATGGAAACTAAGATCCTGGTCGACAAAACAGTGGTTACCCCCACATTTCTCTATTGGTGTGAGACACTGATGACGTATCGAAGCCATCTTAAGCTGCTGGAATGGTTCCACCAGAGTTGCCTAAGGAAGATCCTTCACATTAGATGGGAAGACCACTGCACCAATGCCAGCATCCTCTCTGCAGCTAACATAACCAGTATTGAGGCAAAGATCATGAATCAACTCTGCTGGGCTTGCTACTGTTTGCAGATGGCTGACACTTGTCTCATGAAGCAAATCCTCTTCTCTCAACTTAGTTTTAGTAAGAGGACCCACGGAGGACAGAGGAAGCACTACAAGGACACCCTGAAAGTATACCTTAAGAATAGTGGCATCAACCCTACAAACTGGGAAGTGCTGGCTGGTAACAGCTCAATGGTGCTGTACCATGCATCAAGCTACAGACCACTTTGAAGAGAACTGTCTTGCTCAGGAAGCTGAGAAATGGCAGAGGAGGATGGAAAGTGCACAACATCCTAGCCAATAGTTGTGCGCCCACCCTCCTCCCAAGACATCTCTTGTCATATTTGTGAAAAAACTTGCAGAGCATGGATTGGACTCCTCAGCCACCTTAAAACTCACCAATAATTCCCTCCCCCTGCTGGCAGATCTCATCCTTGTATCCAGGGATAACTGGTTACACTCTGTTACAACTGTCTTCCTAATTCTCCTATAAGAAGTCAGGATTACTTGATAGTTAATTATGAAATACCTTAACATTCTGTTTATGTATTTGTGTTTTACAATTGCAGCACATTCATTATATTTGGAGCATACAAGGTTTGTTAAGTGCAGTATTGTCACTCCAAGTATTATGTGAGCACTGGCAGTGGAGCATATATGCATACCTGGATATATGCTTCTTGTTGGTCTTACAGTATAGTACAGGCAGAATAAAACATTTCACTTCTGTGAGTGTGTCAGGCTTTTTCTGCTCCTTCTGTGTCTGTTTCTAGTGCTGTACACACATCCCTACCAACTGTCAGGATCGACTGGCCCATAGGCGGTCACACAGCAAATTAGCATAAGTAGGCTAAGGTCACACCAGGTGTCAGTCAAAATCTGTGTTTTTGGGCGAAAGGTTGAGGCAGTACTGTGGTTGGGAGGGAGGTAGAGTAGAACTGGGAGGCCCAAACAATGGGGCATGGGCTGTGGTGAGCCTGGGATCAGGAAGAAGCAACAGGAACCAGGCAGGAGCAGTGTGGAAGCAAGGAGGAGGTCCAAGGAGCACACACACAAATGATGTTGTTAGGACAAGTCCCAGAGGAAATAAGAGGGGTATTATAGCCCTCCTATCAGGCTTGCAGTGTGTGGATTCCCCTGGTTACCTGACTCCTCTATAAGATCCTTATGGGAGGAACCAGGCTGGTCTGCAGGTAGCATTTCACTAGCTGTGTATGCTGAGAACTCAGCCACTATTTGTTGTCCTGGCTGCCCTGGCTTTAAATCCCCATAGTCTGAACACTCACTTACCTACTTAGACAATATCCAGTGAAGTCCTTCTAACCAGATCATTCAGTTTCGTAAGCAGCCTTGCACTTACCCTTTGTTTTGGCTAGTGATGTGCATCTCTCAAACATTTTTTAACAACCCTTTCAGCAGCAGGACATTGGCTACTTTTGTCCCCTTACTTTACCTGTAGCAAGTTAGGGTACTATGGTTTGTGGTTATATGATGAGGGGTGTAAATGGACATGCTTCCACAATGGACATGCTTCATGCTTCCACAAAAGCCAACATACACATCCATGCCCCTTATTGTTCCACAAATGCTCCAATTTATGGCTGCTACAGAAGCAGCATGGATTTGTGCCACTATTTTGCAGCAGAAGCCCGTTTCCTTAAAGGCAGAAGAGCATGGGCAGCCTGGAG